GGCTATCACTATATAGGCCTAATCAAATGAGAACTCAGTAATTTGTGATAACCGTAAGATCTAATGCGAGTCACTCATTGAAGATAATTATGTTATTTAATAAATAGAAAAGACAACTCTTAAATGCGTTTAATTAGTTTATTCTCTCCATAAAAAGGAAACTTATAACTCCCATAAATAGGAAATTCACAACTCTTCGCGGTGTGTTATCTTTGATTATTTGACGGTAATAACAAAAAGTGTATATTTGTTGTTTTACGGTGTATCACGATGTGTATCTTAGAGTATCATGTGTATATAGTGGGTATCACAGCGGACACTAGTAGGTACCGATGGATATATAGCAAGAATTATCCTAGTTAATGTATCACAACATGTATAGAGTGGGTATCACGGGGAAATGTTCACCTGGAGGGAAAAGGATAAAAAAGACAAATATGATTTCTAAAATACCTAAAATGCTATTATTTAGAATTTGCAAGTTAAAATTACCAAAATTATTAATATCCTAATTTAAACTTTAGTTTGTGGTTGAGATTGGATCTCACAAATTACTGAGTTCTCCTTTAAATGACCCCCTTATATATCATAATAATAATCTTATATTTCAAAGTTAATCAAATGATATTTCAATATCTGATTAAATTTTTTTTAAGGCAACATAATATTAAAAGATAAGCAGAAACAAAATCTCTCAACATCAGCTGCAAGAAGCTGTTAAAAAGGGATTAAAAAAAGCCAAAAACGATAATTGACCACCCAAAATGACCAAACGAGGCAACTAAGGGAGAAAGGCAAGGAACTGCACAAAAGCTAAAGGTCAAGAAGTAGTTTCGACGCAAAAAAACAACCTTTGGAAAGTTCACATAAAGATACACTAAAATAAAAATAAGAAACAACTCATTAAAAGGCTGTCGACCGTCTCTTCCGGATCCACACCAATAATGTTGCAAAACGCAATCACCATCATCAATGGTGAATGCGATAATAAGACAACCATTGTTGACAACAGTGATGGTTTTGTATTCTTTGACAGGAAGGTCTAAACTCATTCACACATGTTTTAAGCGCGTAAATTATGACTGAATTTTTATTTAATCAATATTTAATTTATAAAAAATGATCATGTTAATTAGACAAATAATGGTCCTTCAGGTTATGTTTGACAAACTAATTGATAAACTAGTCACATTAATTAGTTTAAATAGGTTAAGAGATTAAGTTCTTGAACTATTTTTTTTTTAATTAGAAAATCATTAGATTTTCTCATTTTAAATGATTAGGTCCATGAATATTGTTTTCAATACAAAAATCATCGAACTTTTAGAAACTGGTTATCTACGTTCTTTTAACAAAAAAAACTACATTCAACCGACTAGAAATGTTTTAAAGTAAAAAAAAAAACCATATTTCGGTTTTAACATTCTCAAATCCTACGCCATTCAAATCCCTCACACACAACGGCTTCACTCCACTCTACACTGCTCGTCGCCCCAATCATTGTTCGTTCTCCAAACCGTGCATTGCTCCCGGTTGACTTTTACCATCGATGTTCCTCTCTTTGATCTTATTTTATCTTTTGATTCTTCCACTTTTTTCCAACAATTTAATGGAGCATGTATAGACACATAAAAGATGGAGAATCAAAAGACAAAGAAACAATAAAAAAGATGGAGATCGAGATCGAGATCGAGGGCAGGGGCCTACGGAAGTGATGAGCGGTGATAGGAGCAGACAACCATAAGGCGACAAGGGGTGACGAAGGGTTTGAATGACGTAGGGTTTATGAACGGTATACTGATTTTGTTTTTTTTTTCTTTACAACTTTCCTAACCGGTTCCATATAAAACTTTTGGGTTAAAAGATGTATGTAACCAATTTTTAAAAGTTTGATGGTTTTTATTCAAAAAGAAAAAAAAAATCAGAGATTCAATCATTTAAAATGAAAAAGTTTAATAATGTTTTCATTTAAAAAAATGTTTAGAGACTTGATCAATCAAAAATGGAATCATTTCAATACAGTAAAAGATCCCTACTCCGTTCATATACTCATCTCTCGCGTCCACGTGATCGTCTCCACCTCGATATTGGTTTTTCCTTTTATATATTAAAATATAACGATGAAGATTAATTTCAATACAGATATAGTTTTTGCGAAAAATCAGTCTACCACAAAGAGCCAACTGTTTATGTTGCCACATACATTTTCAATTTTGTAAGACATTCCTACTCCGTCAAATCATTGTCTCGACACTAATGTGGGACACTCAAACCAATTCGACCTAAAATCTGTAGTATCGTCATTTTTCTTGCTTTTTTTTCATTTAAATGTATAAAGATGTTTAACAGAATATAATATCCATTGATAATGAAGAAATTGTATTTATAAACTAAAATTAACTATTTAATCCAAAATGGATTAAAGTTATTATAAAAAAAGTTAGGGATTCTCTCCTCGTGTAATCACCCTCATGTACCGACATATCACTTTTCATAATCACCCTCATGTACTAATATATCACTTTTTTTTATAAGTTGACGTCCTTCATCGCCCACATGTTACAATATATAATCTTTATATCAATATGGGATAAACAAAGTTAACCATAATTCTGCATTTTGGAATTCTTAATCCACATTTTGTCATGTCATTTCTCTTGATTTCTACTATTATATATATATATATATATATATATATATATATATATGTGGAGAGAGAGATGAACGATCAAATGCAAACTGTTCAATTTGTACAAACCGTGCAAACCATTTTCATCCCGTCGATTTCATTGTTTATTATGAATTTTTTTTTATGAAATTGTTTCATATAATACTTTTTTGATGAATTGTTTCATATATGGTTATGAAATTGTTTCATATAATACTTTTTTGATGAATTGTTTCATATATGGTTATGAAATTGTTTCATATAATACTTTTGAAATTTTAATGAAATTGTTTCATGTATTTCTTTAAAATTAAAATAATGAAGATGATAATATCTATGATTAACACCCTCCACCATAAAAATGATTAATCAACCTCTCATAATTACAAAAAAATGAACAAAATGAAAAATTATAATTGGTTGAATGAGGTTTGCACGGTTTGTACAAATTGATAAGGTTATTTATGTCATTTTACACAATTTTTTGATAATTAAGGAAGTTAGTAACACATTTTATTTAAGGCAAATTTAATAGAAGAAAGTATGAAAAATGGTAACGTTTCAAACTTTTATTATAATATATTATTAAAATCTTTATTTTTAATTATTTGCAATGCAATGAATCTGCTGGATATCTTGTTCATGTAAAAAAATTAATAAAATAGTTAATGAAATAGATTCATGAAAAAAAATTAATAAAATAGATTCATGAAATAGATTCATAGCTAATGAAATAATGCATAATTGACTTTGTTCGTCATGAAATTAATCTGCTGTAAGAATTTGAAGGTGAAAAGATTTCATTGCAAAATAATTAATGAAATAGATTCATCATAATGAAATGATTTCATTTTCTTAACAGATTCGAGATTAATGCACTACTTTCATTGAGATCCATGTTGCATTGTATCTGAAGTTGATCCGTTCAGTTGTTAGAATAGTCATGAAACGGTTGCATAATTGGTTTTGTTCTTTTTGAAATATACATATCATGAAATGGGTGCATAATGGAATAGATTCTTGTAAAATAGTTAATGAAATAGATTCATGTGAAATAGGTAATGAAATAGATTCATGTAAAAAAATTAATAAAGTAAATCGAGATTAATGCACTACTTTCATTATGATCCATGATGCATTGTATCTGAAGTTGATCCGTTCAGTTGTTAGAATGTTCATGAAACGGATGCATAATGAGTTTTGTTCTTTTTGAAATATACGTATCATGAAATGGGTGCATAATGGAATAGATTAATGTAAAATAGTTAATGAAATAGTTTCATGTAAAATATGTAATGAAAAAGATTCATGTAAAAAAGTTAATAAAATAGATAATGAAATAGCTTCATAGCTAATGAAATAATTCATAATAGATTTTGTTCGTTATGAAATTAATCTGCATGTAAGAATTTGAAGGTGAAAAGGTTTCATTGCATGTAGCTAATGAAAAGGTTTCATTCATAACATGTAGTACGCATAAAGTGTCATGAAACAATTGCATTAACATGTACAAAAAAGCCTGGAATAAGGAAACAAACAATTGTATAATTAAACATTTCCATAGTGAAATAAACTGAATTTTTATTTCAATAAACATTTCCATAGTATGAATGTTAATGATTGTTTACCGTTCTACCCTTATTGATGAAATAAACTGAATTTTTATTTCAATAAACATTTCCATAGTATGAATGTTAATGATTGTTTACCGTTCTACCCTTATTGATGAAATAAACTGAATTTTTATTTTTTATTTTTTTTATTTCCATAAATAAAGCATACAAATCTTGACCATTGATCAAGAAAATAGATGATTGAGATTGGTTTACACGGTTTACACAAATGGAGAGGGTTTTCATTTGAACGCTCCTATATATATATATATATATATATATATATATATATAAACAACATAAAATGAAATAAGTAGAAATGGCCAAACATCTGACCTAACCCTACACTAATGAGGGACTCAGACTGATTTGGACAATTAAGAATCACAGTTACGAGACCACTCCACTTTTTTAGAAACTTCAAGGCTCGAATCGGGAACGATTATGTATAAGGACCCACTTTCTAAAGTAAATGTAATATTTAATTTTTTTACAAATTATGATCCAAAAAATTTACGTAAATGTAATATTTAAAGAACACCTTAATACTTAATACTCAATTTTTAAATTTATAATTTATAAAAATTTGTACGAAGTTTTTGTATAGAAAAGATTTAATTTTTTAATACCGGGCCGACCATGCGCAATCAGGCCGGGTCGGGCTCGGGTAAAGGCCCATCGGCTTGTGCTCCGTTAATTGGAAATTGGAATAGCCCTAAATTACTCTGCAATTCGACACTGTTTGTTCTTAGTCTCCCAAAGTCTTTGTTGTTAAGCAATCCAGTCATGGAGTCAGCCGAGTCTCCGTTTAGGGTACTATTCTTCCTTTAACCTTCTCATTTTCATTGTTTCAGTGCTTAATTCACTCCTCCAATCATATGCACGAATTTCATCCTTTTTGGAACTTTATTATTTGCTAAATCGTAGTTGTTTTTCCGTCTGATCATGGAACGAAGTCGAGTAGTAATAGGTCTTATTGTGAAAGCATTTAAACTTCTCGAAGTTTGAATTTTTGGGATGGTTGTTTAAGTTGGTTTCTTTATCAAGCCCATAATAAAAACAACTTATTGATTTATTCCGGTGTGACACCGATAACAAATACTTTTGAGTGTTTGGATAAACAACTTATACCGGTGCCAAACAGGAAATAAGGAGTTTTTGAAGAAGTTAAACCTTCTGAATTATAATAAGTTGATAAGGGCTTTTGTAGAAAAGTATAAGTTGTTCCAGATAAACAATCCCAAACACCCTCTAAACAGTACTTGCTTTGATCTTTTCAAGCATTTGTTATTCTGCTGATCACCTTAGGCAAACACCACGCAATCATAAATGGGGTTCTTAAACTAGTATGTAGTGTTAACATCAGATGTTCGATTGCTAAAGAGATTCTGATATGTGCAGATAATCCTGGGATCGTCTTCAATAGCCCGGCGGAAAATTTTAGCTGAAATGGGATATGAGTTCACCCTCATGGTATTGTTGTGACTTTATCAGACACACTGACATATATGTATCTTTGTGTTCATATAGAAGGTATATCATGTAACTCTTGTTTCTACTATTTAGTCTGCAGATATAGATGAGAAAAGCATCCGAACCGAAAAACCAGAAGAGCTGGTGATGGCTCTTGCAAAGGCAAAGGTGGGTATTTGTTTGTACACTCTGAAACTAAAATATCTTGATGACTAAAAGGTGAGACAAGCTCCATTTCATTGCGCTTCCCGAATTCCAGTCTCAACCCTGGAGCGTTGTTCACCGTTCAGTTTATAGTAGTTAAAGGGTGCGTTTGGCATCAAGACATGCATGATTTAACAGGACAGAAAGCCGTTCAACATTTGGTAAGATAAAACTGGACATGACAGAACATATAAAATGACCAATTTACCCCTGAGTTGTTTATATCTTTTATATATTTTGATTAATTTATTAAATTATAATAAAATATATCCTTAGAAAGTTCTCGGATGATTAAAATGACACCAAAATATGTAGTTTCCAATATTTATGTATATCTTCTCTATATTATTAATATTTAATAAAATACATAAGATAACCAAAATATAGAAAACCGTATAGAAATAATATTTTGAGGATGATAAAGTGAAATTTAAAAAGCATAAAATACTATAAATAAAATTTGAATAATGAATAAAATGTAGCTATGAGTCATCTCAGAAAAAAGCTGTGTAATAAAGCATCAATAHGGATTCATCATTAAATGGATCTACTCATCGAACAAAGAGGGATGTGTGTTTGATGTTTTAGAAGAGAATTAGGTTTTATTTTGAGGTTATATTGGTAAAGTTTGGGTCTGTTCCACCTTGTTCCATGGGGTGGGATGGAACATGCCTGTTCCACTCTATTCCTCTGTGATTCCACATAAAAGTCCTGGCAAACGTGGAACAATGATCCCTGTTCTGTTCTGTCTCGTCAAGTGTACCAAATGCACCCGAAAAGAACATGCCTGCACAATACAATGACACTTACTATGGATGTTACCTAAGCTTAAACCACATGTTAAGAGTGCTAATGTGTAATGTGGTTGACCTTTTCTTGACTGATTTTGAAGCCTGCAGTGGTCATTATTAGACTGTTTCTGATCTACAAACACATTATTCTCTTATATACCTATAATTGTGTTTTCTTTAGTTATTAATTCTCATGCAGCAACCACTATCATCTATTTATGTATTCTATGTTATGCTTTGTCCCAGGCTGATGCCATTGTGTCCAAGCTTCAAACTAGTGCTGACCAGGAGAAGGATGCAAAGCCAAGTATTTTAATAGCATCTGATACAGTATGTATATTCTCTCTCAAATTGGTCATCTGAACTACTGCTAGTATAGTTTTTATTTCTTCTACTTGGATAACTTCCTTTTACAAGTTTATAGTGCCATTGAATGCAAGCATTATTGAAACCTCAGAAATATTGGCTTGTCTGTGTTCATAGATTTCTTTGCTAAACGATAGATGTTTAATCTACCAAGCAATTCCATGGGCACCCTGGATGTTATAAATATTCAGGATCATTGACCAGCGTATCTAGAGAAGTTATTGGGTTTTTCCAAGGTTCTTGTTTACCATCTCGTGTGGCCTTGGTCCTTCACAGTCTTGTATGGTATGGCCCTGAATCAGTTTTGCAGTATCAATTGCTCTTACCAAAAGCAGAACAGAGTTCCTGCTCGTTAAGACTTATTCGGCCTTAGTAGATTACAATCCTCCTGCCGATTATGTTTTCTCACTCAAGTTTGTGTACTTCTTTCTTCTGTATCTCCCCAAAAATTGCGAACGCCCATGGAAACAAACTAGAGATTGTACCTCATTTACACCTTAAAGTGCTCTGTGCAACAACTTTCTTGTGGGAAACTAGTGATCATATCTGCACCCTTATTTGAATTTGAAAATTTCGTGGCTTTACTGTTGACCTTCCCAAATACTAGAACAACTATATCAATGCAAGAAGAAAGAAACTGCTGTTTGAGTTAGTAGCTTTTATGCTGGACTTTGTGAACAACTTCAATGGCTTTTAAATGATAGTGTGTTGCGCTTGCATGTGTAATCTTGTAATAGATGATGAAGTTGCTTATTTCTTGAGACTCGTTAGTCATTCTAAATTTCACTTTTTCTTGTTCTTAATTTGTGTTAATTAATAGCTCTTATTAGGCAGAAGGTAATCCAAAGCTCCAAATTGGTGAAGACAAGGATGCTCAGCCAACACTACTAATTACTTGTGACCAAGTATAGATCAATTCCTTAACTTTTCGTTATCCGCTAAATCTTATTGCATCTTCAGATAATGTGCCCAATAAGCCGTGTGAAGTAACATCCAAATCTAGCTAGCTGTTTATTATAAGAACCAAAGGAAATAGCATGTAAAATTTGAATTCCTATCTCTGCGGATGTTGTATGTATGCCAATAAACAAATATTGCTGCAGTCATTTCTTATAAGACGAGTCTGGCAATATGTTTGGACAAGTATTTCCACAAAAGCAAAACGGTTTAGCTTTTCAACAATCGAGTCGTTTCTTCTTTGATCAGAAGAAGGATGAAATGCATTTTAAAGAAACTTCTGGTTTTGCTTCTTGTTTCTAAAGTCTAAACTAATCATGCATTATGATTTATAGGTGGTGGTCTATGAAGGTACGATAAGGGAAAAACCCGCCAATGATGAAGAAGCACGCCAATTTATCAAAGGTTAACTTCTTCTTCAATTTTCAATAGTATGCTCTGGTGGCTTCTTGGTTTTGGTGGTCTTATAAGCAGAGGTCACAGGTTATTCTGGTAAGCATGCAGCTACGGTTAGCTCTGTTTTTGTTACAAACCTGACGACTGGATTCACAAAAGGGGATTGCGACAAAGTCGAGGTACTATTTGGTTAGATTAATGCATCTTCATGGTATCTTAATGAGTCATATTATACTACCATTTTGCATCCATGGGGCCTTTAGTTTGCTTCTGCCTTTTTAGTTAATATCTTTCTTAGTTCACATCTGTTTGTCAAATCATGATATAACAAGTGCCTATATGTGGGTGAACCTGAAAATGAATGAAGTAGTTTCTGAGACCAATTATATATGCTATACATGTATGCAGTAATTTTTTTGGTAATTCATTGATGTGAAAACCTTTGTTGATGGTTTCAGATTCATTTCCATGATATACCGGACCATGTTATTGATAAGCTGGTAAACACCGTTACCATTGCAGTTTTAAGTTGCTTATAATACGATTTTTGGGTCACGGGTATGTGTCTAACTTTATCTTTGCACAGCTGGAGGAGGGTCTCGTACTCAATGTTGCTGGGGCGCTGATTATTGAACATCCTTTAATTGTTCCATATGTCAAAGAATTGGTCCGTCTCCCTCTCTCTCTCTCTCTCTCTCTCTCTCTCTCTTTCTTAATCACTCGCTCGACTCTGCACACAAGCACCAATTGGAATTGAATGATGCCCATGTTGGAAGTATGATATAGATTGTGGGGTGTAGATATCATCCGGCTCCAATGCTGCTCGCTACCTTTTGACAGGGAAATGTTGACCCAAAAAAATGTTGCTTACATGGATCAATTCCAAAATCCAAACTAGTTGCAGTGCAGGTTAGATCACATAGGGTGTGTCAGGATAGGATAGGACAGGAGTGGATAATAAATATTTTCATAACAAAATATATCAATAGAAAGTTTTTGTGAAGACAGATTAAAACGAGTCCAAAAATAAAAAGTTTATGTAGTTTAATTTTTTTATTTATACCTTTTCTATATTATTTTGTTATTATTAATATTTAATAAGTTACATAACTTAACCAAAATAAAGAAACCGTATAAAAATAATATTTCGAGGACAATAAAATGAGCATAAAATACAATAAATAAAATTTAAAGAATGAATAAGATGTAAAGAGGGAGGTGTATTTGATGTTTAGAAGAGAATTAAGCTTTATTTTGATGTTATGTTGGTAAACTATAGGACTATTCCACCTTGTTCCGTAGGTGAGGGTCAACACCCTGTTCCACTTTGTCTCATTCTGTTCCTGTGTGTTTCACATAAAACTAACTTTTTAGCTATCAGCTATTCCACCTTGTTCCGTAGCTTATTAGTCAACAACTAACTTTTTAGCTATCAGCTATTTGTTCTTATAGTACATAATTTGATGATCGTATGCAGATAGGGACAACTGATAGCGTGATGGGACTTCCTAAAGCCTTGACTCAAAACTTACTGAAGGAGGCTATGAAGGCATGAGTTTGCTATTTTCGAATTTTTGATGGCCAGAATATTGATGTCAAAAGTCGGGGTATCATAGTTTTGTTTCTATATACAATGTTTAGTTGATATATATTGATAAAATCTTTCTGTTCGGACATTATTGTTTGCTAGATGCATATAGTGATGGCCAAAAACCGGTCCCGGGCCGATCCGGTCCGGTCCGGTCCTAATCGGTCCCAGGCTTTTTGACAACCGGCTATAACCGGTTTTGGCGTAACCGGTCCCGGTCGAAAAATGTGAGCCCGGTCAAGCTGTTTGATAACCGGTTATGGGGCGCCGGTTCCGGTCCCAACCGGTCTTGCCATTAAAAAAACATTTTATTTTTTTAATGATATATATTTTTAATACATTATAAAATTTATTGTACGGGTCACTCAAATACACTTTAAAAATTCGTTTTATTATAATTAAATTTACATGGTCTTGCAAAAATTTATTGTAAAATTATTTGAAAATACATTTATTGATCAATCTTCATCGATATTACATGTCAAATTGATTTGAAGAGTTTTGGTGTCTTGAATTCTTTTAATGGTCTCTTGGTCATCATTGTCGAGTTCCTCATCATCGTCATATTGTGAGTAAGTGCCGTCGGTATGGGTAGTTATCGACGTGTTTAGTCTCATGGCAATTTCATTTTCTTCCAAATTTTCTTCCACCGCTTCAATCTCCATCTTTAACGGTGTCGTGTGTTGAATTCTATCAACGCTATCCAAATAATCTTCCAAACAGATGCAACACTCTACGGACTCCTGACTTAGTCTTGTCCGATGTATAAAAACTATCCTGCCACTAAGAGAAAGCAGATTCCGAAGCTACGGTGCTAGCTTGGATTGTTAGCATATCACGTGCGATGCACGCCAAAACTGAGAATTGAGGTTGTTTTTGTTTTCAAAAATCTAATAAATCAAAATTTTCGAAATCTTCGACATCATTTGCGGGGCATGCGGCCATAAAATTAGTATGCACATACATATTCAGTCCATGTTTGGTGAGAACTTAGGAAACTTGTTTGTTTAATACATCATGTTGTTCACCGGCCATTTTGTAAGACAGAGAGAAAGAAATGCGAATTGTGAAGTGGAAACAAGAAATGAATACGAGTTGAATTGAAAAAATACAGCAAGAAATCAAGAATTGTGAACGTTTTTTGCGAATTGAGAACTTGGTATGTAAACTTCTTAACCAAGACACATATTTATTGTGTTTAGAAGCCAAATAAATACAAAAAAAAGGGGTCAAAAATGGCCAGTTAACGGCCATTTAAAAAAAAAAAACATGGTCATATGTTTGAATAAATCGGGCCGGGCTGGGCCAGTCCTTAACCAGTCCCGGTCGATCCCGGTCCCACGAAACAACCAAAACTCATAACCGGATGTAACCGTCGGTCCCATAACCGGTCCTTGGCCGGTCCCGGTTCTGGTCCTCAGGTGGTCCCGGGCATATGATGACGGTTCTAGCGATGGAACATTCTATTATTTTCAAAAAGGAAATCAATCGTATTTGGAGAAAGATGTAAATATCTTTTTACTGGAAAGGGATATTATGGAATAAGTCTCTCTACTTGTTGAGGTAGATGAAAGATTTCCGTGAGACTTAACAAAACAAGTTATATAGGATTAGGCATCTCTACCCGTTCTCTAAAATTTTCTCCAAAATAAAGAAAATAAAGGGAGAGTGAAATCTTCAAATTTGGATGACTCTCCAAAAATTATTACTTAGAATTGAAATCTTCAAGTTTAGAAGGAAAATAGTTTTATGTTTTGCAATTAGAAACTCTTAAAACGACCTAAACACTTTTTTGGCACACGATATAATATTTTATGTACCAATTATAATTGGTTGGAATTAGAGAAAAAAATTTGATATACGGTTTTTGTCATAAGCATCACACAAAGCACAAGCAAACAAACTTAAGGTTGGTTTAACAGTCTGTCTAGAAGTATCGTTGTTGAAAAACTAAGAGAGAATGTCAGAGTCATGAGGCATGAAGTCCTCGGATGGCCGATAGTATTTAGCAGGAGAGTGGAGCCCCAGATTACCAACTTGACTTGTATACAAACACGCAAATCGTTCCACCTGATCTGCAAACCGCGAGTTCTGGTACCCAGTTTTCATCAACTGCCCCCACACCGGATGGAACTACGTACATACAAAAACCAACCATATCATGTATAAGAACTATACATACACCTTCCTTAAGGGCCTACTTCTGGTCATATATATATATATATATATATATATATATATATATTCATTACCTTTTGGTGGAAAATTCTTTGAGACTCTTGATGTGCTGCTCGAACACGTGCGCGCTGACTCTAAATAACCACAATTTCAGTTTCATCAAATTATGTATGTTTACTTCCAAATGGATTTTATTCATTTTACAACACTGACCTCAAGTAGGTCAAGCTTTACAGAGATCTTTTCCTTTTCACCAGCATCCAGGTTTTCATGCCTGAAATTAATCAAGAAAAAACAACTCGAATAGTTATAACGATAACTAGAATAGTTAACAGCAAATTGTGGTGGTTTTCAAGGGAATTACGTACTCAAGGGACCATTTTAAATGATGGGTTTGATCTTCAATCTGATCTCGCTCACTCCTCAGCAGTTGGAGTTTCTGCACAAATATAATATATATAATATATATATATATATATGTTTTACTTTAGTAAAAACACAAGAGACATCTAGTCCAAATTGTATTCCTACACATAAGGCAAGTAGAAGCTTACAACAGTAAGAATTATACATACATAATATGATATGAAGCATGGCAAACCACATAAACGTTGCATCAACTCATGAGATAAAGCCAGCAAACAATGTTAGGGAGCCAGAATTTTAATCCATAGTAGTGTTCATCACGCATCATTCGCTTTTGGGAGTTCAAAGCTATTGCCAATATGCAGGCAAGGGGCATGCACACACACACACACACACACATATAGAGAGAGGACAAATCAAATGCAAACCATGGAAAGGTTACAAACGATACAAACCATCCCCCCTCTCTCTCTCTCTCTATATATATATATATGTATGCATATATGTATGTATGCATGTAGGGGGACCTTCATTTGAAAAGCCATAAAATTGCGATAACCTTGATATCCTGTGCCATTTCTGATGATTTTTTCCATCTACAGCTTGAATTTAGTGTATTGGTTAACACATATTTGTTTCACAATGTGAACATTTTTTGTGTTTTTGAAACAAAAAATACAACTAAAAAGTTTCACATTATGAACCGAATACATATGAAATAAACGCATTGTGAAACAAATATATGTTAATGAATATATTAAATTCTAGCCTTAGATGGAATAAATAATGTGAAATAATACCTTATGATAATAGTTCTCACAGTTATCATAAATATGGGGTTCTCAAATGATTAAGCCCCTATGTATGTATAGATACATATATATATATACATATATATATGTATATATAAATACATAAATGGAAAAAAAGGACATAAAAACAAGAATGGGGAATGAGTATACAGGGCATAATACCCAAACCAGAAAAAGAACACTATGACCAAAACTGCGCTAACAAAGTGGAACATAAATAGGACAGATTTCTAAGAATTCCCCATTTGAAGATCAATTCCATAGCTTGGTGAGTGACCCCGGAGAGATTTCACTCCAAATTGTGGAAGACCCTGTTATTCCTCTCCAGCAACAAGGACCTTAAAACCAAGTGAAGGTGGCCAGAAAAGTCTTCTCCGGTTAACATAGAAAGAAAAGAAAACTAGGGATAACAGGATCAAAATATCATTAGACAATTACGTTTATGYACATAATATATCAAACCAAGTGTAAGAGAACCTTAATATGACCATAAAACTAAAACCTTGCTGATTATGGGACTAATCTTGAATTTGATATAGATCACAACATAACCGAGATTCTTGCATGATATATAGGGGGGGGGGTGTGTGTTCGTATTACAATCAACAACATTGAAGCAAGAACCAGACAAGTTGATATCATATCATGACTACCATGATTCAGAATCGACCAAAATATGTATCTAAAAATGTAGAATTCAAGCTCTCTTGCTGATCAAATTTGTATGATTTCATAAGACTTGAGTACCCAAATCAAGACTCTCATGACTAAGAAGAGATAGTGAAACCAATGCATAATTTTTTTTTGGCTATTACAACATCCGAGTCACAGCTTTTAGCTGTCTTCTAGTATACTTGTTTTATTCGACAGTTATGGTTTAATGGTTGGAAGATAATGAAGCACCATAGTCTAGTAAGATCACTGCACTGTCAATGGAAGTAGAATGGACTCACAGATGATGACAGCTTTGGGATGCAATGCAATGTTAAGAATTGGTGATGATGAGAACGCAAAATACAACAAAACATCAAGATCAGGAGAGGAGACTGTATGATTCTAAAAAATGTGAAGCGACAGTYACCAAGAAACATTAAGAGGTTGCCAAGGGATACATGCCACAAAAGGTTTTTTTTGCCATCATAAGATATGATCTTACCTTCACATGGTGGTCAATTCATTATGATATTTTACACACACAAACATCACATTCTCTTTTCATTAACATTTGAATCTTGCAGTTTTAAATACAGGAAACCTTTTGCATGTAAAAATTTGTGGCTATCATACACAATTCACATTGAAAAATCCTAAGAAAAATGTGTATATGAACCTAAAGTGTGAATGCCAAAGAGAAGTTTACTGGCTTAACCACAAGGCCAATTCCGTAAATTATTTGAATGTTCCATCATTCATGTGTGCCTACATGAAATGGTGCTTTGCAACAACTAAATATTTAAGACATCATATATTGAAACCTTATTTAACAACTGTTGATAGCAAAAAGATACTGGTGAAACCCTTTCAACCACAACATTACCTTTCGAGTGTCCCGTGAGGATGAGAGAACTTTAACCTCCTTTTCAAGTTCTGGAACAACAAGCATTGTCCTCCAACCTGTTCCATGTAATTGAATTACAATGTGAAATTGCGATTAAAAAACAAAATAATGTCATCTTGATACAGATTGATAACCATGTAGCATAAAGGTTTGAGATAAGCAGAAATAATAGATTGCATGATCCTAGCTGAGCCATGTCGTGTATGCTAGCTCATGCCAGTAAAGTAGTCCACGAACTAATGCCAGTTATAAGAATGGATGCTTCTAAAAGAGCACAATTAAAGGAAGTTAGACTGAGGATCTATTATGAATGAATACAAAAGGTCGTACCCAGAACTTTTTTGCTGCGTAAAATATCCCCATATATATGATCTCCAACATAGAGCACCTGATGACAATTGAACAGTATATATTAGTTACACGAAAGTATTCAATAAATTAAGACAACAACAAACAACAGAATGTAAGATTCAGGACTATCATCGCACAAGGGCAAAAACAAATTAACTAGATAAGAGAACAATTGACGAACCCACTCACAATTATAAAGTAAAGTATATGAAGACAACACCATTTAACAAAATATAGATTGAAGACTATTGTAAGAGAAAAACTAAAGTAACTAGATAGCAGACGGGAGGTCAATAACGAATTCACCTACAATTGCACCAACTTCAAGTTATGGAGTTCAAGACTATCTTCATAACATCAAATAACTAGCATAGGACATAGCAATATTAAGCAAAACTATGAACTTGTTCTTTGATAGCAATAAACTAGTATATACTCAAGAGATCGAAGTCAGACAGCTCTAGAGCAGCATATACTTGAATACCACAAATTTAACAAGTACCTGAAATAACAAAGGTTCAAAGAATCAAGCAATAACGACCAAAAAGCAGGCAATGGAGCACCAAAAAATAAAATACAATACCTGTGAACTTGCCCCGACATGGAGTAGTTTATGCAGATGGCCAACATTGCCTCCCTGAAATGGTTGTCCCAGGAAGTCATATTTAATCACATAACATGTCCCAAAGGTCTTCTGTGATTACAAAATAACACAATTTTCACCATCCCATTTAATCTGATATTTGGATTATACAATACCTGAAACACTTTGCATCGCATATTTGGGATCTGATGTGGCAGTTCTATATCAGGGTCTCCCACCTAGTGATAGTTACAGTGTGTTTAGCATATGAAGAAGCAGAGGGGTTTTAAGTGAATGAAAGAGATCTACCCACAAACCTGAGCGAGTGGAGTACCATTGTCAGTATTAACAAGCTTCCCTGATTCCGTCTCAACAGCAAAAAGATTAGCACGATTTTCATCATGGAAAAAGCTTGGTTTCGCACTGCATAAACATAACAACACAAGCTATGTGCATTTGATCCAAAATTTCCAGATAAGCCAAAAAAACTATATGTTTCCATCAATTTCATTTTACATGGACAACACCAAATATTAGAAGACTGCTTTATACAATTGATAATTGAACAACTCCTAGAAACATGAAAAACTAAAATCTTAGAAACCCCAATTTTCCAGTATTAAATAGGCCAAAGACCTTCTCTTGAAAGCATAGAGTTTCCCTTTTCCATTCAACCTAGAATTCAACAAAGGCATTCTCAAATGGGGTCCACAATTTATGCCAGGATACTCATATTTCAGAATATTACCATATTTCACTGCCTGTATCATCACACATACCTCCTTAGGATAGGCTTTGGAATTTATGGACCTCTACTGCAAGCATGGCAAGCAAAAATAACAATATCACTGTTCCAAGAAGGGTCATAAATCATAATGAAAACATTATGAACATCTCTGCATAAGGACCATCTTTTGAGGAAACTTCACCCCAATTTTTTTTATAAATTGATTATCTTGCTTTGCATAATACATGGGTAACCGCATGAAGCAGTTCAACTTTTCCACATCAACTGCAGTCATGAATAACTTGCAAATCATATGTGAAGATAAACCAGACAATATGTGGTATAATAACATTAATCCACCACTGCCATGTACACAACTCCTTATTCCAAGGGCACATCAAGGTAACCAAGTGTTAACTAATGTTTCTGTGCAGACCCACAATTTTTTTTTCATTAGAGAGCTTATAAACTTCAATAAAAAAAAATAGATTGAAGTTCAGAATGAACTGCTATCACGTTGCCTCTTGACACACTCAACAGTGACAGATCTTAAAACATTGTTGATTTGTATTTTTATGTCATCATTTTGTTAATTATCATAATCCAGTTAATGGTTAAATCTGGTCCACCAACAGAGTGATAAGATTCTATTCCATCTGCAGAAAGCAAAAATATGAAACCCAAGCCAACTAAAGAGACTAACAAGAACGACCAGGATAACTTCATTCATAGAAGTCAAGAATTTAAGCATCTGCATCAATAAGACATGCAACTGCTGCTCAGTACCTGTGAGCTCTCCTTGACAATTATATAGTGCAGTTAAAAGCATATAGCAGTACAGGATCTTTAAACAAAGAAAAACCAGAACCTGCCAGTGATGACAAAGTCAAAGTGTTGGAGCCAATCAAGACTCAAAGAGGAACTGCCATCCGTCGTCCAGGGCCCAAATAGAAAATTCATCACGACATTTGTATAATCCCAAAGACTGCGTCAAATTAACAAATCTTAGGTCATACTATTATACTGAAGTTGCTACTTCAACTCTATGTAGAACAGCAAAGAACTAAAAGTATGTGCAATTTATAAATTGCTATTTCAATACGCATGACCAACACATACGAACAAGTGGAATGATACATTGTGCTTTCTGAGGCAGTATTCTCTTTACAAACAATTGTACATCCTCTCAAAAAAATGCAATAGACACTTATGGATTTAAGTATAAGTTTGATGATTAAATGTCGATTTCATTATTGCAGTTAAGCATTACTTGCACATAGCCTTACTTATGCTCTGGACTGGGATCCTTGATTTTAAATGGCTAGCAAGTGTTTCATGTCTCATTACCTACAATGGAACCACAAGGGAGTTTTTAATGGAACCTGTAGCAGTATTTGTGACCGGGAGATGAAATGCAGAGAGAAAAAACCAAAGCAAATTTTCCGTGTTATTTCATTAGTGAATCAAACCATTATAATTTACATATATAGAAGGCTATAAACAATACTAACTGAAAGTATAACAGACTAATTGTACAGCTCACTAATTAGTTCCGTCTAAGACCCGCCATCAAGCTGGAGGTTGTCTTCACAAACCAAGCTTGCGTAGAATAATCGAATGTGCAGGACCTGGAAGTGTCTTTATAAATACATCTGCAAGCTGAGATGAAGTAGGTGTAAAATCCAGATTAATGATGTCTGCCTATAACTGTAACTGCTGCCTTACATAATAGCAATCCAACTCAATACGCTTAGTCCTTTAGTGAAAAACAGGATTGCTAGAGATGTAAATGCTTGCTAACTTATCACACTTCAAAGCAATTTGAGTGATATTCTCAACCCCCAAATCAGAAATCTGCTTAGCCATGTGAGCTCAGTAGTAACTCTTCCCATGGACCTAAATTCAGCTTCAGCAGATGACAAGACAAGGTAACTTGTTTCTTTGACTTCATGAAACTGAAATCCCCCCAAGAGAAACAAAGTACCCACTGACAGAACGGCGAAAGAAAGGACAAGCAGATAAATCTGCTTAGCCATGTGAGCTCAGTAGTAACTCTTCCCATGGACCTAAATTCAGCTTCAGCAGATGACAAGACAAGGTAACTTGTTTCTTTGACTTCATGAAACTGAAATCCCCCCAAGAGAAACAAAGTACCCACTGACAGAACGGCGAAAGAAAGGACAAGCAGCCCAATCATAGCTACAATATGCTAGAAGCGTAGAAATCCACCTTCTTGTTAAATAAACAAACCCTGAGAACTAAAAGCCCATAGATACTTGAGAGCATGTAGGCAGCATCTCAATGAGCCTGAGATGGATTCTAAATGAACTGACTTAAAAAATGAGAACTGAAAGCCAAATCAGGACGGGTATTAACCAAGAAATTTAGTTTGCCCAATAAGTTGTTTGTAGGTTGTAGGATCAACGAATGGGTTGGCAATTTCAGGCAACACCTTGATATTTAAAGGCAATGGAGAAGTCACCCCTCCAAAAGAAAGAACTCCATATGCATCTATGAATTCCATGAGATATTTCTTTTGAATAAAAAACATGCCTTGGTCATCTCGAAAAAACTCCAGCCGAAATACATAATTGAGAAACCCCAAATCTTTTATCTTAAATGTGGTGAGGATATAAGCTTTCAAATCTTCTATCTCACTTGAATTATCTCATGTAACAATCAAATCGCCAACATACACAATAACAATAGTGAATGAAGTAAAAGATTTCCTCAAGAACAATGAGTAATTACTTTGAGAACGAGTAAAACCCTTCATTTGTAGAGCATCAGACAACTTAGAATACCACTGTCCTGAGGCTTGCTTGAGACCATATAATAATTTCGTTAGCTTACAAACAAAATTTGGGTTTGTGCACTGCATTCCAGGAGGACTTCTCATATATACTTCCTCATGCAAATTCTTGTGCAAGAATGCATTATAGATGTCAAGTTGATGAATTGCCCAATTTCTTTTGACAACAAGAGCAATTATTCATCAAATCGTAGTAAAGTTGACCACTGGAGAGAATGTTTCAAAGTAATCTTCACTTGCACGCCGTGGGCTGCTATATGAGCTTTATGTCTCTAATTGGTACCATCCTGACTAAATTCATTTTGTAAACCCATTTGCATCCTATTGCACGTTTACAGGTGGCAATGGACCCAAATTCCACATCTTATTTGCTTCCAGTGCTGCAAACTCTAACCATAACATTTTGCCATATAAGATTATATGCTGCTTCATGATAGTTTTTAGGATCAATCATACATATAACATTGCCTATGAAAGACTTACAATCACTACTTAAAGAAATGCAACATAAAACTTGGATTGGTATGCACAAGTTAGTCATGGTATGTTGACAAAAAGCAGAAGAGGAATCAGACAAATCAGAAGGCACATGATTACAGACAACATCATTTTCATGAGCACGAAGTTTATGAGACCTGGTTGATCTTCGTATGATAGGAGTATGATCAGGAACAGGTGAGGAATAAGTGGAAATGGGATTATTTGAAACTGATAAAATGGGTGAAGAATTTAATGTGGGTTCATCGGATGTAGGAGGTGAAATTGGACGTGAGTTCACTGGTGAAATTGAATGAATTGGATGTAGAGGTTATGTGATAAGGTACCTGAAGTGAACATGGGCAGAGGAGTTTCAGAAAACCCAACAATAGTGAGATGAGCAAAGTCAGATTCACAAAACTGGATATCCGTAGAATAGAAGATTTGTTTGGTTACTAGATGCATGACCTTGCATGCTTTAAGACCAAAAGAATATTCCTGAAATATGTGTGGATCAGCTAGAGATCAAAATTTATCACGATGAATAGAAGATGTGGAGAAAAAACACAAACAGCCAGAGGTTGTGAGATGATGATATTCAGGCTTGATTTTGAACAAAACTTCAAATGATTTAGTACTTTGGTGGGAGCGTCATTGATATGATGGCTGTTCGGACATTATCCCTCACAATTTCATAGGTAAACCTCATTGAATAATCAAGGAACGAGTTATTTTGAGAAGACATCTGTGTTTACGCTCAATTAAATCATTTTTTTGGTGGGGGTATGTGGACAGAAGAGTGGATGTATAATACACTTAGAAGCAAAGAAGGCCTTGTTTTAATTGTTGTTACCTAACTCTTTTGCATTATTAGAACGAATGATCTTTATGGTTGTATGAAACTGAGTTTGAATGAATTGGGCATTTTTTACTACATAATGGATAAAGCTGAACTTTTATATGATAACAAGTAGATACAAGTTGTTCGGCTATAATCATCAACCATGACAATTAAGATAACGATGACCATKGTATGTGGAAGTGTGAAAAGAACCTCAAATATAAATATGCAATAGATCAAACCCAACTTTAATTTAGCAAGACTTTTAGGAAAAGGCAATGGATGTTTTGCTTTGTGACAGAYACCACATGAATGAAACATCATTATTGCATTCATTGGAAAGAAGATTTATTTGTTTAAGTTTGAACATGAGTAAATGGCCAAAGCCTAGATGCCACAAGGAAACAAGTTTATCAGACTTATCAGAAACACAAAATTGGATAATGATGAAGAATTATCACTACCYAAGCTTATTGTAMTTGACAGGATTAAACAAATAAAGACTACATATCCTTCTACCAAGTACCAAGAGTTTCTTGGTAAGGAAGTCCTGCATATAACATTGAGAATTAGCAAAATGAATGGAACAACTGCGATGGGAACTGAGTTTAGACATTGAAATGAGATGGCAATGAAACGAAAGAATGAATAGAACAAGTGACAAAGTTAATTCATTTAATAAAAACACATTGTCAACATGTTCATCATATAATTTAGTTCCATTGTGTAAGGAAACTTTATGTGGTTTGTTTGATTCTGTGAGGATTGACTACACATGTGATTTGATGCCCTAGAATCTATAATCCAAAGCTAAAAGTAGGAATAGTTAGATCTGTCATATCTGCACAAGCCACACAATCATGTGTTGCTTCAGAAAATTCCAAACTGGAGTCAAATGTTGAATTGCTGAACTCTTCCCCCATGAGTATCGACAGCCGGAAATTGATTCAGATGTACACCAAAGTAAACCCCAGGATCTTGAACTGCAACAATGATGAACTCTAACAACAGTGGCTGGTAGAGACTGACAACAAAGATTCATGACAGTACGATAACCCAAATGAGGGTTCAGAACAACCGCACAGCAGCAGTCAGGAATCCAATACCTGAGCAATCCGAGAATCGAGAAGGGAGTTGAAACAGTGGCAGACGGACTCTGCCAATCAGCAGAGGACAACAATCAATGAACAGCTTCAGTGAGAAATTCCTTTGGAGAGAAACCCTCAGATGAAAACCTTCAGTGAGATGGATTGTTTGTACACTCATCTAGACTCAGATCAGTCCAAATATTCAAAAGATCAGAAGAAAAATTGAAAAAAAAATGAAGAATCAGATCATAACAACTATGCTACCATGTGATTTGGGATGCAGAGAGGAAAGAATAAGGCAAATTTTCTGTGTTATTTCATTACTGAACCAAGATACTATATCTACAATCTAGAGAAGGCAATAAACAATACTAACTGAAAGCATAACCGACTAACTTTACAACTAACTAATTAGTTCGGTCTAACAGTATTGGAGAGGAGAAAGGTTAAGAAAAAGAATGCAGCGACGGATCAAGTGCTGACCCAGAGGTCAAATACACCTGCAGATGGTACCTAAGAGTGACGCACACAGAGAACCAGGAAAATAAAAAAGGTTGAAAATACTGCTGAAACTAAAGTATCCTACATGATGGAGGGTAGTTGGGAATCATAATTGAGTATATTACTATTTAACACTTTTAACAAATCCTGTTAGAAGAGAGAGAAGTGTAGCTGAGCCTATCTATGAATACCGTTACAAGAAGAATCCATTCAAAAAATAAAGAACTTTTTCCTTTTCCAGTTCTAGTATCTGTTATCTTCTCCCCTCCCCTGCTGAATATCTTGAAGATCACCAATTCACAACAAAACATTCAGCGGCATGAATCAAAAGAAAAGGCTACGCATCGTGAATAAAACGGATAAAGTAGATGAAGCACACACTATAGAAGCAAGATTGAAAGTCCAATGCACCTCACAGCAACAGGGCTTGATATGTTGTATACTGTGAGTTATTTGTGAGGGAAGTACATCTAAAGGCAGCAAAAATGGGTCAGAAGAATTATCAGCACCATAATCTATGGTGTCAAGACATTAAACTGACATGTTTCTATGAAGGTGACTCGGATGGATCCATAGATGACATAAAAAGTACCTCGAGGTCCTGTCTACGTCTAAACTCAAGAGGCTTTTGATGGTGCTCTAAGGAGCAGTAATTTTAGCATAGTCTAGTCCTGATACATAATTTGTGGCTGCAACATCAGCAGCAATCAAGCTTCATTAAGAAAAACACTGTAGTCTCTGTATGGCGCAGAAGAAAACACCAAGTTTTCATGGACAACAAAGCTGCAACAGCGATTTCTCACAATCCAGTGTTTCATGGAAAGAGTGAACAGCTCTGCACTAAGTTATTCATCTTGAGGGGACGGGGTTGTGTAGGTGTCCTGACCAAAAATTTACCAGTCTGCATTTAACCTCCTATGACCCTAGTCCGTGTAGAAATCATTGGGTTCGTTTGGTTTGGTTGATTTTTTAAATTACAAATAAAGCATTACATTACGAATGTAACATTATATATCGATACGAATGGTTTTATTATAACATAAATTATATTAGTTTATTGAAATTTTAACTTTATCAACCATTTTGAGCTAAGAAATTAAAAGATAGTGTAAAATTTTATCTTAAAATAATTATTAAATTCTAAAATTTCAAAAGAAGATGCAATGGCTTGTAGAAGAACACACTATTTTTCAAAATTGTTTTAACTCAAGATTGAATAATAATGATGATGCTGATAATAGTAACTTTGATAAAATAAAATAAAAACAAAAGGATTAATGTATCTTTCAAACTAATAGGTCAAATGGAGCAACTGCCATTTAATTCATTGCTTTTGCCACCCCCTAATATATGGATATAGAAACAATTTAAGAGTATAGATTATACCTGTTTGTCACTAAGAATACAGCGCGACCAGAAGTTTTAAGCATTTTTAGCATTGGTGCTATCAAGTTGTCCTCGTTGATATACCTGATAATTGAACTGTTTAAGGAAATGGAAAATACAAAAAAAGCCACTAAAATGCAATAAAAATACACACACACACACATATATATATAACGAAGGCCTCAAATAAAGCAATGACGTCAAGCCTTTCAGACCGGAAGGCATGCACTACAACCACAAGTGATATTGAAAATCAAACCGAGTGTTCAAAGAGCGCAAAATATTCAATGACAGATGTCCACCATCAAGCTTCTCATAGACATCTAAAAAGTTGCACAATGTGTCAGGAACATGGTGCATTTAGAATTGAACCATAACCACCAGACGGTACTAAACTTTTTTATCAACTCAATAAACAAGACCACTTCATTTTTCTTCCTTTTGTGCTTGAACAGGCATAATACCAGTCTTCTGCAAAAAGCCAATGCTAATATGGACTATGCATCCGCATCCACTAGGACAATGGCTTATGGTCTCTCATCTGGAGATGCTCGTATGACTTGATTATTCTCAATGAACATTGAGGTTGACTACATGTCATGTAATTCATTATATAGATGAAGTGAGTGGTGGTATACACACGGGTCAAACACAGTTCATCAAAGGCAAACCTTTACATTTATAAAATCCCGAAAATAGGAATCTCGATCACTTTAATGCACAACATAACTCCATTAGCTTACTAAAAGGATACTTCCCGGATTGCATGATAAGACCTAAATCCTAATAATTGAATATTTTAAGGCTTTGCCCCCTTCATGCATATCATCGGACTACACACCAAACATAGAACTTGACAAACATCATTCTAGGAACCCCAGCATATGCAATATCACACTGTTCTCTTGTCTTTGTTAATGATATAGCCGTGACCGGCAATGATCATAAAGAAGTTGCTCATCCTATTGTCAAGGGGGGTTAAGATTAAAATTTTCGGAAATTTAAACTATTTCCTTAGAATGGTAGTCGCTAGATCAAAAAAGGGAATCTACCTCTAAAAAGTGTATACCATAGACCTCCTAAAAGAAACAGGAATGTGAGGGTGTAAACTAGTTGATACAACAAAGTAGAATCAAAACAAGACCAAGTTAGTGGGAAGGTATCAAAATTTTGTGGGAAAACTAATCTACCTTTCACAGACAAGACCATACATAAGGTTCGCGATGAGTGGTGTAAGCTAATTTCTGAACAATCCCACATTGGAACACATGGAGTCAGCATACCAAATCTTAAGGTATCTTAAAGGCACACCAAGCAAGTGATAGTAGTTACCAAAGGTTCAGACAGAAAAATAAAGTGTTCATGGATCTCTCTCTAAGACCAAAGGTCTACCTCTAGTTTATCTACATTTGTATGAGGTGATCTCATCACTTGGAAAAGTAACAAACAATATGTTGTTGCAAGAAGTAGTGAAAAAGTAAAATATCAAGCATTGCCACAACGAATATTTGAAGAGATATGACTTAAAGGACTATTAATTGAACTCAAAGTTAAGACTTCAAAATCAATCCCACTCTTGTGCGACAACCACACACCGATGCATATTGCAACTAATGTCATTCACCATGATCGAACAAAATATATTAAGATTGATCGGCATTTCACAAACGAGAAAATATTAAAGCAAAATTCTTCAATCTCAGATACACACCCTCATGGCAACAAACCTGACTAAAGCATTCAAAGACCTATTTCTAAAAACCTATGTGCCAAGTTGATAATCATCAATATATACTCCCTAACTTAGAGAGGTGTAGAAATTTAGTATTCGTTGTAAACATGAAGTAGAATTCTTCTTAAACATGTATTAGTTAGAATTTATTATTCATTTTAATTAGTTTAGAAGATTAAAATCTTACTTTTAGGTTACTTCTTTTGTAGTGGGATTCCTTTCTTGTGATTCTTAAGTGTATAAAAGGCCTTGTAACTTCTCTTCTGAAATAAGAACAAAAAATTCCACATTAAGTAAGCAAAAAACAAGGCCATGTTCCGTTCCCCATCTTGGCGATAACCGGTTTGGAAGCTACAACACATCGTGATATTTTCCCACCAACGATGCTACTGGTTCGGACATCTCTTGATCTCCCGTTGCGCCGATTGCATGCGTTCTAACTCCAGCAACATACCTATACTCATCCTTTCTTCTCCATAATTGTCATAACCCTGCTAATTTGTCCAACCATTTATTTGATTTTAGTCGCAGTTTAAGATGTTCCTTTTTCAATCTTTTGTGCCACATCAGTCGTCTGTAAGAATCTAAATAGAGACGTCAATCTCATCTGTACTCAAACCTCTAGAGTGAATCGATTCACAAACTGGCTCACAAGTATTTCCTCTCGACATTGAGTTAACGGGGCTGCGAGAGTTATGAATTTCCTTTTGTATTCCAATAGTGTACCTTGTTCCATGGCTAAGAATTACTCGGCATTCCTTCTGCAATTGACCAAAATTGCATCAAAACCAACCATTTCGTCTCCTACCATGGTCAAATCAGCCTTCTTTTATGTTCCCATTGAACCATTGCAAGGCATCTCCTTCAAAAACGATGAATGATACTTCAATTTGTTCATCTTCTGTTAATCGATTAAGAAGGAAGTACATTTCTACCCGAAAAAACCAACCATCCAAGCCAGAACGATCAAACACTCTAGCTTGGACCCTTGATTGCCGAGAATTGATTTTCCTCCTCATTGCGATCGTTCCTTTCACAATGTTTCCTACTTGATTTTGGGATTTCTCCTTTTGATGCCAACCTATCATTCAAATTTCTGAGGATTTCCTCAAGCATCCGAGTTATACTTCCATCTTCTTCATCATTCCTTGAACCTCCGCCCTGGACGTCCTTAGCGTGTCGACTTCAGCTTGCATGTTACTCGTATTTTCCTCAATTTCATCCACCCTTAAACCTACATTTCTTGTCAAGATGCGGGTCTCACCACTTTCATACCACTTCAATACAATCTTTTACTTATTTCTAGAAAAAGATTAAGAAAGTGGTACGTATTGAACGATTGACAACTATCCGAGAGGATGCACTCTCCACAATGACCTTGAGGTCAAATACAATGAACAAATCAGAATTCAGAACAAATCAGAATTTAGAACAAATCTTCTCTTAGCCTCTACTCTATTTATATCACACTCACTGACTCTTCTAACAACTTCCAATTACCCACTTTTGTTCAACGCCTCCAATCACTTTAGTACCCAGCTAATGCATGTTTATTTACTAGAACACTCTTGCCCCATATCGTCCTTTATTCCTTCTCACATATGTAAATCTTCTTGGGGCCATATCAGTTGTTTTTGGTGAATTTAACGTGCGACCATCCAGTCACAAAGGAATAACTTTATGAGTTACTCCGAAGCATGCCCCTGCACACTAACAAAGAGAGAGAAAAAAGTGCAAGAGGTATAACATGCTACCAAGATTCTAGTAGCATCCATAATCATCAAACCTTGCCCTAAGAGTCTAGTCTGATGGTCAACAAATTTGGTCAATTATAACAGCAGAAACTTGTAGCAACTCTATCATGTGATACTTGGAATAGACTCCTAAATGGTAAGGGAAGAAACTGATAACTATTTTCAAATCCGACAACAAGTAAAATTCCTGCATTGAATAAATGAGACCGAACTTGCGTTGGTTGACATTAGTCATTAAATTTGAATATAGTTATGTTCAACAAATATTAAATTGATTGATTTTTGAACACTTACAAATAATATAATTTATATTATCCATGTCATTAAACTAATACTAGTTATTAAAAAGAGTAAAGTCAACATCAGTGGCGACATGGGGGCGAATAAAGGAAAGAGAGGGATGGGTTTCTCTCGCTTGTCGTCTCTCTCTATGAATATATATATGTAAAAATATGAAACCCATTAATAGACAAACCTTGCACTTGGAATTATCAAAAATTGGAAATTTCATTACTCATACTTTTGTTCTTTAGTTTAAAGTTAAAAAAATGGAACTTCCATATTCTCTTAAATGTCGAACAAATTTAGATTCAAATTAAGAAATACTTTCATATCCATATATGGATAGTTTTAGTTTACTTGAACATGTGAACTCTAATATGCAAATTATAATTATTATCGACCAAACGTGAATTATGATGTCGCATTTTCATATCCATCAAGTTCGAATTCGAATAAAAATCTAGTTTTGCTAATTGAATAAGAAATAGGAATAGGGTATCCAATTAACATCAGTTTAGAAAGGCCAATTCATAAGTGTCTTGAAAAGTTTATGTGACCTAAGCAATGTTGTTGAAAACCAAATTGATGCCCAATGGCCTGAAGTGATCCAATGGGTTAAAAAGACGATCTTGGAATAGAAAAAGGTATCAAAACAAAGAAAAGTGAAAAGAGGATAAGAAAGAAACACCCATGTCGTTGTTTGCTCCATCATTTTCTTGCACCTTGATGTGTATACGATTCATCTTCACTGAAAGAGATACAAGATTACTTGCTCCCACATGTGTATATGTATGTATGTATGTCTTACATATCCATTCAACAAAAAACCAACTAATATATTTTGTTCAACTTAGATGCAAGTTGATAAACATCAACTTATTTGGTGCTTTTACACTTTTTCTTACTCTATTTATCCGTTTTAGTTTCCCAAAATTCCACAAATTGAGTCCTTTTGTTTTATTTTTGCATCTTTTTTATATTGAAGCTAAATTGATCTAATAAACATGTTTACTTCTTGGGTATGTGCTGATTTTTGAGAAAAAGCCATGTTAATAGGTGTTTTGGCTGAAGCATGCTACAGCATGTGCTGCACGACAATTCCAGGGGCATTTTGGATAATAGTACGGAGAATCTTTTGATGTCTAATCCTTCTTTTTGACAGCATATCTCCTGCATATTTGAAGATCTCATGGTACATGTTGAAGATATTCTCTTTGACTATCTTTTGGATGAACAATGCTTTACCTTTTGGATAATGTATAAAGTTGGATAATAGTTTTATTTTTGGTCCTTGTCCTCCCTTCTCCTACTATATAAAGGAGGGATGTTTGGCATTTTGAAGTAAGTAATTTAGATGCAATTTGGAAGTTAACTTGGTATGAAAGTATAGTTTGGAAGCATCTTTAAATTCTCCTTACATTCTAGAAGTCTTCTTTATAATTCTTTTAGCATTTATTTCTTCTACTTTCTTTTCTTTTTTCTTGTGCTTTACTTCCTATTAATATGCTTTATTATTTATGCAATTAATTTTAGTATTTCAAGTATGGTGGGCTAAAATTATAGCTTGGGTGTTGGGTGATGTTAAGAGAAACTCCGATTCCTTTTGTAGATAAATAAATAACAAGTTTTTCCAAGTACGTCATTCAAGTTTATGTTGCCAAAACATCATCTATGGACAAGTTGATCACTTGTTTAAAAGTGTTAAAAGTGTGTTGGATTTAGAGATAAACCAACAAACACATGTCAACTTGAATGATATGGAAGTAGGCTCGAGAGAGCTACTTAGAGTCGAGGAGACTCGTTTTCACTCCATTTAGCTTATAAAAGGAATAGTTTGAGCCAATGTCGAGACTCCAACCTTGCATAGAGATATGAAGGTTTAATCTATGATTGTGCGTCATTCTACATCTCGAGAGAGTACCTTAAAGAAGCTATTAGTTGTAAAGACAAATTATTATAAAGCATGTTATAGAACCATGTTGTAGCATGTTGTCTACTTAAAAATCGGTTTAAGAAGAAGCTATTAGTTGTAAAGACATTATTATAAAGCATGCTATAGAACCATGTTGTAGCATGCTGTCTACTTAAAAATCGGTTTAATATATTAACAAATCCCTACACCCTAAGCTCTCTTTTATTACTTGTTCACAACAGTAGTGTTAAACCAACTCACCACAAATATTTCTTCGAACTCACCATCTGAAATCATATCTTTATTTAGACTTTTAATGAACTTTTATTTCTTTTCCATGGACGATATTTGGTATTTTTACCACTTTCTTACTTGTAAAAGACGATAGTGGATTGATAAGTGTATACTTGCACTAATCTCCATTTGCTGACAGTCTGAGAGATTTACTTTATATAATTCTCGTAACAAAAGTATTTACTATTAAGGGATTAAAGAATCCTATAATAATATGTTCTTTTAACCATCATATCTCAATCTCAAGTCGGTCTTTTGTTCCTTCTTTGTGTACCCCTTTTTCTTGCTCACTGTTATAACTCATGACGGAGGTCTCCTAGAGACCATTGCTCTACTCTTTGGGGTAGAATACAGGTATGCATGCATCCCACATCCTAGACCCCACCTTAGGGTGGGATATATTGTGCTTATTTGGTTTGGTGTGGTTTGTTATAGCTTTTGACCTCTATCATCCCTACTGTTTGGTGGGTGTTAAAAATCAAATGTTCTATGTTTGATCGCCAAAAGATGATTTAGTTCTCTATTTCCATGACTCTTCATGGTGACGCAACTATTATGCGCATCACCCTTGAGGCTAAGTAGGAACCCGGGTTGGCTTCCACATGCACGTTATAAGCTGTCATTTTGAGACAGCTGGATACCTCCACAATGTATATGGCAGCAAATGACCTCAGCCAACCGCCTCCTCATAAAGAGAAGCTCCCCTTAGCCATTCAATAAATTTCCCATCCCTCCACCCCACTTTCAATCTCCACCAGTCATCTAAAACTGAGATCCAAGAACAGGTGCAAGCTAAATTTTATTTCAAAATAGTTGGTGCACATTCCTAAGGCATGTTTTAATTGGTAAGATTAGCTAATATTCATGTGGTTACTTTAGTTATGAAATGCAATCATATCTATTTCAGCATATCTCGTAAAGTCATAATTAATAGTTGGTTTAGCAGATTCTTGTGATTCTACAACGACACTGCTTCCCCCACCTTCTCTTAGTAAACCCTGGCTTATAATAAAGGCTTAACCACAAAACCATATAATTAATTTGAGAAAGCAAATCCACCCTCAGTGTACACTCCTAGCATAAATGGCAAAAGCCGTACCAAGTAATTAGCTAATACCATTCCCTATCCTAAAGATATTGTCTTACGCATGATATTATTAATATTGCTTCTCTCACAATTTGTGCCTGACTACACAATGGTTAAAAAAAGACTTCTAATCTAAAGCTGAAAGGAATAAATCGGATCAATTATACTAAAAAATAAATTCTATTAATTGGAGATGTAACAGCATATCAAGTGTTGCTAATAATTCAGGAAAGCATTAGGACAATCAGCAATATGTAAAAAATTAGAGATTGCTCAGAAGCAGGGGTGGAGGCAGGATTCTTGAGATGTGGTGTCACAACAACTTAAAGAAACAGAATAAAGAAGTTATACTTTTACTGCAAATTGAAAATGAAAAAGAGTAATGATATAGTAAATAGTAATTGCATATCTTTTTAGTTGTAAAGCACATACTTTCACATGCTACAACTATCCGGTGTATGACTCAAATTATTACTGTGAATATAAAAAGTTCATTATCCCCAGAAACAAAAGATATCGTAAATATTTACTTGACATAATTTGTTCTGTCCTGTATTATTTTAATGTAGTCATCAAATTTTAAGAAATAGGTGCACCCCTTTAGATATATGAATTAGATTGATTTATATTTATCAGTTGATAATTCATAAAACTTATCATCAAAGAAAAAGTTAACACCACAATCATAATTCATAAGTCATTTATAATATTTATAATAAAACTCAGACCTTATGCTAAAATAACAGCTATAAAAAGGGGGAGTCTGATATAAAATTTCAAATAAATTAGTTGGTAAAGTATTTAAATTTTTTAATTCTGGATTGATTAAAATTATAATCAATACAAATGCATGTAACCATTTTTCCTAATATTGTAGGGTTCAAAAGTACTATGGTTAACACAAGACTTGATAGAAGATTGTCAAATATTTTAAGGGATTCATTTAAAAGAAAGAACTATATTAGAAATAAAAAGAAAAAAAGAAGTTTATGACAGAAATTGAACATGTATCTCCACTTCACCAAACACTAACTAATCAAGCTACAGCTTTTATTTCCTTTTTCCTTTTGTGAGTTCACTATTTTAGATAGGAGTTTATCATGGTAATTTCCAAATTTATTACTATATATTATCATAATTCATAAAAATCACATGCCACATGACACCATGGGCACCTTAGTTCCACCCCCTGCTCAGAACACTATAGTCCTGCAGCATTAAGATCACAAATGCTATTTTTCATTATACCAGAAAGCATATACTAAAAATGAAAAAGCACATACTTTCTTGGATCTTTTGCAACCATCTTCTTCAAAGTTCCATCACGATGGCACAGATCAACAGCAGAGCGGACATCTTTATACATACAAGAATAGCTGCAAAAACGTCTTTGTAACATTAACATGTGCTGAGATACAAATTCAAATAACAAACAAGTATAGTCAAGGTAATGCATAAAAAAGAAAAAAAATATGTATACACTCCATAATTATAAAGATTCAAACGCCCGGCACATTTCTTCTATAATTTAAAGGCAAAAAAGAAGAGAAGTTACTATTTGACAAGTAACATAGTCACTTCAACAGTTACAACTAAATGACAACTGTCATGGCCAGATCACCAATTTCTGAGCACAAGAGGTGGCTTGGATTCATGCAGAATCACACAACCAATCTATTATCAACGATTCCTTGAACTACATTATCCCATGCACAACCGTATTGTACCCTCATTGCCCTGTTTGATAATTAATGCATCGCAAACCAAAACAAGCCATGCACAAGTGAATGCGTGTTGATATGAGGACAAAAAGGCTGAATTACTTTATCATATATATAGTAGTGTTAGTCTTTCCCTTTTTAGGTTTCTTTATCTTATATATATATATATATATATTGTAATCTCTTTTAGAAAGGAAATTTACTACAATTACCAGATTTGAGAACAACAGCATGTTAATTAGACTAATACAATTCAAACCCGCAAAATCCATGTGCAAGTGAATGTGTGACGATATGAGCAGAAAAAGGTATAAAGGAAAGAAAAGTAGGAGCTACTACTGAAGGGCACAACATGCCATCTTAGCTGACCTAACCGCCTAACACCGCTAATAGGAACTACCACAATGAGGCTCTGAAAATGACCATATAAGTGTAGAAGTTTAATCGCAAGGATTAAGTATGTGCATCTTTACTTGTGAGCAATCAATGGAAAGATGCATCTCATAATTGAATTTAGGTCAAGTCACTGGGTTTAACACAAAGCATCCTCCTATTGTCGAATAGGATGCACATTAGGTCGTGTACAGAATAATCCCCTGTATGTCCATGGATAAATTTTATCAGACCATTTTTCAGATCAATGCCATTCCCTTTTCAGTACCAATTACGATCTTCAGCCTTATTACCATGATTAGCCGCATACTATACCATATAAAAATATATTTTGAACACTTATTTTCAGCTTTTAAAGGACGAATTTAATCTTACTTCTATACCATCATTTGGTACATAATTTACTGATGTGAATAACTTTGCTAATAAATATGAATATCTACAAATCATATCATATTTCTTAAATTTGTCTTTCCCGCTTCTGCTTATTAACACAAGACATCTCAGGAGAAGATAATATGCCCTTACCTGTGATTAAACAGAAACAGTGACAAGTTGGACTTGAAGCATGAAAAATCAGAAGGAACAAAATCACAGGAATGTGGCAAGTAAATATAAGATATACGAACACATATGCAAGATTTATCATCTTATCACATGGTCAAGGAACTAATTTTAAATGTTCTTTAATAGATGATAGAATTGGCTCCATACATTGGTCATATAGCTAATATACAGGTGAGGAACATGTTAAACATAAACCCGAAAGCAGAAAACAAGGCATCATTCTTGAAGGAGACTTCCTATCCATGGTAATCCGAATTAAATTGATCATGGTATTATTTTTTACGATCACACAACAGAAAAGAAATCCATCTGCTCTAAAATTAGAAGTCCACTTCCAATTTGGAAATTAAACTTAATGTTTTGAAATTATGAGTTTACATTTTTCCAGACGCATCTCCAAAGTATCTTGTGCAACACCTTTTTTAGGTTACATTTATTTATCAATTCTATTATCTACAACAAAATCTTTCTTACAATTTTTGAATCCAACAAGTACATGTTAAACTCACAGTCAAATATGGAGGTTTCTTCTGAGAGGAGGGAGTATTTAAGACAATTTCTTCTTCCCCACCCCCATCCCGCACACCAAAATATACTGAAGGTTACCTGCGATGCAGTCATAAATTATATCCCTCTTATCCTATAATGAATTCACATCCAGGTTTTATGGAGTTTTACTTGTACTATTTCATCTTTATAGCAACTATAGCAACTAAATTGTAACTGTACTAGTTGTGACTGGCCAGTACATCATTGAAAAACTAAAGCGCCAACAAGTTAATAGAAATCAAGCGAGTTTCATAACATGTTGAAACAAATGTTCATTGTATATTCAAATTCAGGCCCATACTCCATAAGCAGTTAAACACTATAAAGTAAGGGCAGCTGTGTTCAAGCAAGGGAATGAAAATGAAAATGACAGGTAACGGGAATGAATTTTCATTCCCCCCGATTTAACCTAGTATGAAAATTTGGAGTTCAGGGGGAATGAGTCCATTATATTATATAAAACCAAACAGTTTCATTTATATTCAATCCCATTAGTGATTGCTTAATACCTTCGACCAATAAATAAATAAATCTGCAATTACTCTAGACATCAGTTTTCCATTGGTGAAGCCAATTACAACTACGTCAATCAAAAATTGAAAACATGTTGAATTCGCTATATTTGCAAGTTATATAAAGATTCAAGTTATCGGCGCCCCTTACTCTTTTTCTTCAGAGATTTTCCCTGGATTACTATCCTTGAAGTCGACCAGCTGAGCAAATAAATAAGCTTCAGCTAGTGAGAAAAGGGTGTCGATATGTGCATAATCAGGCCCATCAAATGCATCTCGGATGAAGGTATTCCCATATGTAGCAACTTTTTCGTTCTTCGATATCAACCTAAATCCATGATAGGCTACTTTCACATATTTGTGCCTGTCCATCTGGGAGAGATCAAGATAGGATCAGAATAATAAAGAAGAAACAACTAGAAATGGGAAAAATCTCTAAGGTGATTAGCAAAACATGATATTCTCAAATCAGTTTAATTACACATACATATTTTGACAAGCACATGAATATGAAAGAATAACCAGTTAGTTATATACTTGACAAACACAAACCTTAAGTATATTTCCTCTCTTTTTATCTAGAACCAGTCCTCTGACCATGTACGTCCAATCAAAAGACCATTCCAGTAGCTGCATCAAAACAGAAAAGATAGAAGAGCAGATATTATAGAAGTAAATGTAGATTCATATTTGAAATGCTAAAACAATTCTAGAATCACACTTTTTGATATAATTGATATATGTATGTATATATAATAGGAAAAACTATAGAAAATGATAGAAACCATGTCTCTAAACAACCAAAAGCAAATAAGCTGACTAGTTTACTTCAAATTTACTCGCTGTAACAGAAAGATAGTCAAATAAAAGTATAATTATGATCACTTTATTTAGTTCATGGTTTATAGGGCAAGTTGTTATCATATCCTCCGTGCTACATAGAAAGAGAACCTGCTCATTTTCGGTCTGAATTCAGTAAATATTTTGGCTGATCCCAGTTGGATATAGACCAAGTTAGGTAGGAGTCATCTGATGATTCTATATCCTCTTCGGCTATAAAATTTTGTAATTTGGCAAGTCACCGGTACATGTTACCATAAAATCAGATGGTTATATAAATAGGTCAAATAATTAAAGAAGATAAATGCTGTTTCGTGTGAACTAACAACACATATGTCAATATTATGTATCAGAGAAATATGCATGTTCAGCATGCAAAAAAGATTTAGGGCCTATAAAAAAAGTAAAAAGGTGCAACAATCCCATACGACCTAGCTTAATGTGTTAGCAAGACAATACAACATATACTAAACCACAAACAAAAGCAGTCTAGATCCTTGCAGAGAAAGCAGGGTACAAGGGGAAACATAGGATGCACATGACTATCAAAAGCATGAATGTTTAGGTTCTGACATCCCTTGACTGGGCAACTGAAGTTTTAGTTTCAGATTGGAAGTTGAGTCACTTTGTACTTCATTGTTAGCATACAGTCTTAAAATTTATTTAGAGAGTAATAATTATCACCTTGGAAATGTGAATCAAGCCTTACATGTAGGGATTAGAACTAATACCAAAGTATTTGTATCAAGCATTCTACATAAGTAATTTCTAAGAACCACATTTTACCAGGATCCGCAAGATCAATATAAACTAACCTCTTTAGGATATCCCAAGTCACTTACTAGCTTCTTGACCGTACCATCATATGCTAGGGATTCAAAAGTTTCAGGTTTGTACTGTGCCAGTGTATAGTCCATATCAAAGCCAATAGCAACTATATTTTTCATATTCACAGCACTGTTACAGAAAATCTGTTTGCCTATATCGATGTTTTGCCTTCCTTCAGGAGATGCCCATGAGGCCAGAATCTGGCCATCTTCATAGCCATTAATTCCTCGTATCTCTGACGTAACTCCATCTGTGCAGTAGGCATCCATTTTACGGCTTGATCCTAACTAATGAAGGACCTGTTTAAATGAAAAATAGTAAATTATCTTTCTGATAGTTGATGAAAACAACATCACTTAAAAGAACACCATTTCTAAGACTAAATAATGCAGTAAAAATGAGACAAGAAGGACCAGAGTTCAAGATGATAATAACAATTAACATACAATGCCAGTCCAACAGTAGCTGAAAGTAAACTACATTAGTGATGGCAGAAATAGCATGGGCAGCTGCAGTTTAGAAATTCATTTAAATCAGCTTCTATTAGGTTTGTCATATGACAAAATGAAACCATGTTGATGAATTATGAGAACTTATGGCTAAGTTATCTCTTACTATAACATCTTATAGTCATAACAGTTCTTAAAATAATTATAACTTCCCTTGAGCGTGAACATTAGTTCTCTAAGTTAAACATAATAGAATGTTTTAGAAACCACAAGAAAAACTGAAACGTAAGTCAGTCAGCATGCTTAAATAACTGAAAAGCACCACAAATTGCTTTTCAACACTGGGTACACAAATGCTAATTTGGTAAGAGGTTTGCTGTAAGTTTTACATTTTTTTTATATTATATAATATGTCATGATTCCAATAAACCATTACAGTTTATACTAGACTAGAACCAAAATAAGAAAGCTGAAAAGGAATGGATTTTATTTACACTTAATTGGGAAAATGAGACAAAATCTGACCCTAACTAATGATATGACATAGTATTCAACTGTTAAAGCACTTCATTGACAGCTTTATAAATATTAACTGATGAAAATGAGTGGACATGTTATTGATGAAAACTAAAAGATGATAGTGCCCACCATCTAAAGAGGATCGGTTATCATCCTCATAACTAATGTTTATCTATTAACTAGATACCAAAAAATTCCCTATAACCAACAATGTCCGATGAAAGAACACAAAGGTCATAGCACAAATGCTCAATTCGTTATTATACTCCCAAGGTCTGCTGTGACAACCAACTAAAATCCCAAAAAGAACCCAATAAGCATCTACATAGATGATTACCGCCTTCAAACTATCCCTATCCATCAAAATCGGAATGCTACCAAATTGAGAAAAAAGAAGAAGAACAACATGCTTTTGAAGTAGAGTTCAATACAAGAACAATACAAGCCCTAAAATGAGAAACCAAGAGCATTTGAGTAAGATTCGGAAGCAGAAGAAATAAAACCTTAAATCCATTAACACACAGATCAAAAATTTCATACCACCACCTAGTCCCTAAAGAAATACGATATACAAAAGGAATAGCATGCCTGTAAAGCAAATTCAACAGTATAAGTAAAACCATAATAAATAAATTTCAAACACAGTTCAGCAACCATAAAAAGTCCTTCCAGATCAAAGAAGAGCACAAAAATAGAAGCATTCCAATAATGTTTCTAGAACAAGCTCAAAACCTCGAATGATTTAGCTTGTCAAACCCAAAACTTGCATGCAAAGTAAAATTCAACAACGAACCTTACAGAAATAAGAGAATTGCAAATTATTTGTTAAACAAACATTTCATAACAGAGAGAAAATTATGAGCATTGTGTAGTAGTAAATAATAATAATTCGAGCAATCCGTGAGACCTTTTGGTAGTGCAGAGCTTTTGAGAAGCAGAAAAACCTAAATCGGTGTTCCAATAACCGAATTGGGGAAAACCAAAAGGCGAAGGGTGGAGAAAAATTAAGCAAATTGAAGAGGTGAGGGTTTTGGGAATACGCATCTTATCCCTTGCCCTAAAAAGGCATTTTGGGAAGGAGAATCAGCGTGACAAGTGGAATCTAATATGGAACACGCAGCGTCGTTGCATCAGTTGGCGTTGACGATTCGATTGCAACCTGGCAGCGTTGTTAATGATGATGACGATGCACAATATGGAGTCATCAAAATGTGCTTACGCACATCAATTGGAATTTAGAGAGTAATAGCAGGATTTTGTAATTGCAATTGATAGTTCATTTCTGGACGGAACCGGATTCCCCTGAAAACACGCTTCGTTTTCAGGGGAATAGTATTTGTATAAAAATGGCGGTGTGTGACACGTGGATGGGCGTTTGTGAAGGTGTATGGTTACCGGAGTCACTGGAGGCCGTGGCGGAGCGATGGTGGGGTTGGTTTTATGCTTTTTTCCGGGATGGTGGTTTGTTGATGAGCTGACGGAGGTGGAGTGAAGCTGGGCGGGTGAAATTGTGTTTTTTGGATGATATGAAGATTACCCCCCTGTAGTTTTCACAGTGTTTCAAATTGGTCCCATCATGATTTGACATTTTGCCTTTTATGGCCCATACTTTAAAACATGTGCATTTTGTCTCACCATAAGTGGATAGAATGACACTTAAGCATATAAAAAAGGTGTATCCATTCATGCTTCCCATGGGTGGATTGCCTTTAGGTGTAAATTTGGGACCGTCACAAACACATGTAAATATTCCCTTAGATATTTTTTTAAAATTTTGGATACATTTTATAAAAAATTAAAAAAGTACCCGTGCAATGCAGTGAGATATTTCTCGATTTTAATGTTCTATTTTATTAGTTGTCTTTGTCGATGTTGTAATACGATTTTATGTGTTTTTAAGAAAACAATAATGATTTTATTTTTGAATAAAAGATAAATTTCAAGATATCATAAAAATTTGAAAAAAAATATATCAATATTAATATCAAACAACTATTTAAAAGTTCTCATTTTTTATGTAATTTGTTTTTGTATTATAATTAAGTTTAATAACGAAATAATTTATTTTTGGTTTAATAATATAACACTTTATAAAGATAATAATTTAGTATTATGTTAGAACTCAATAATTATCCTAATTATATTTTAGATTTTTTATATTTAAAATGAGATGTTTATCATGTATTTGATTATGTTTATCTGCAGTTAGTTACACAAATTCATATATGGAGCTTTAATAACTTGTACTTACGCATAATCTACTTGCAATATTGAGTTTTAAGTAATATGCATTAATAAACAGTACTATACGCATAAAAAGTGGTTTTTAAGAGTTTTTGTCAAATGCTTTATAATATAGTATAGATACCATCGTTAGGTTTTTTTTATTTATCAACCTGGATATCCAACCCGCTATGCAAGCCGACTAATCTCAGGGCAACCACCTGTTTTGCAGATAGCCCGGAGTCACCGCATTTGAACCTCCGTGACCACAAGGGGATTTTTATTCCTCCTTGGATTTAAACCTAGGACCTTCTGATACTTTTGACCTTTGTATTAGGGTTATTTTAGATGCAACTAAGGTTGTTCATCTAAACCATCAACCTGTTATATCATACCGTCCAATCTCGTAAAGTTGTGTCATTTGCATTTTAATTAAAAATATTATTTATAATGTAGTTTACGGTTTTGAGTTATTAATTTGCTATTCAAATAGCATTATATATTTTCATATATTTTTTAAATGTGTGTGTGAATTTCTATATATAAATCTACTTTATACTAATTCTGGTAAAAAAGTAGAGCATATTATAAGGGGGTGTTTGGTTCATGGAATTTGGTGGAATTGGAAGGAATTGAAATGTCCAAATCTTTGACCAAATTCCAAATCCCATGTTTGGTTCACATAATAGATGTGAAAGAATCCTTCTAATTCCTTAATTCATTGAATTCACAATTCCACCGCATATACCACGGATTTCAAATTCCAATCCGACAAATTCCTTAGCCCTCATCCATTCATTGACGCTGTATCTTGATTTGCTCTGTTCTGTTATGCTCGATCTCGTTTAAAACTAAGAATGACAACGAGTCAGGTTCGGGCCAGTTATTGATATCCCCGTCCCAGAAACCGATAACTGAAACTATCCCCATGACCGCCCTGATCCCCGTCGGGGATCTTATCATGTCCTGCGGTTTTCGCGATCCCCGTTGGGGAATTCGTGAAGGTAAAAATCCTCTTTTTTCTGTTCACCGTTGGTTGTAACCGAACCCGAAACCGGAACCCGAAACAGATCTAAAAATACTCGTTAAAATCCCCGAATTTAATATTATATATATATATATATATGTATATAAATTAAAATTAATATATATATATACACGTATCAAGCCGGGTCGTGCCGATGATCACCATCCCAGCCACCGTCCACATTAAAATCCCCGAATTTGTCGCCGATCCCCACCTCGTCCCCGATAAGATGTCCCCGAACCTAGCCCGAAAGTTTCGGTTTCAGATTTTTTTCATGTAATTTTCTCGTTGAATTCCGTGAACGAAACAAAAAAATTACAATTCGGTTAAGAATTTCATTCCAATTCCATCCAACCAAACGCAATCAAAAGACATGGTAAAATTCCATCAAATTCCATTTCATTCCCTCAAAGTCAAATTCATTTGATGAATTCCAATTCCATTGAATTCCATTCTACGAACCAAACGTTCCCTAAAAGAAATTCAAATAATATAATACGACGATAAATCATAAATATAGTTTCATTTTTTAAAAGTAAAAGAATATGATATGATGGTTAAATTATTATTTAAAAAATATATTTATTTGTATTTAATTAAGTTTTTCTTATTAAGATTATGGCTTTTTTTAATATAGTAATCAAATAAAAGTTATAATTATTATATTTTACTAAAAATTATACAACAACCAAGGCCATAATAATAATAATAAGCCAGGACGGTGCTTGTAAGCTTGTAAACGAACCAAACGAACATGAATGGAGGCTTGTTCGTGTTCGTTCAACTTAACCAAACAAACGAATAAACATGAATGGTAAATGAACAAAATTCTTTGTATTTGTATTCGTTCATTTAAGAAATTGTTGTGTTCGTATTCGTGTTCGTTTATATCCATTCGTTAAGATGCTAAACGAACATAAACGAATGAATATAAACAAACAAACATGGATGAAAAGACTTAAACGAACTAGAGCTCAAGCCACTTGTAAGTGGTAAATCACTTGAGTTTTTAAGGGGTGAGGATCAAATATATATATATATATATATATATA